TTCATTAATCATTTGGAAAGACGAGTAGCCAGCCCGTTTACACAAAGAGCACCCACAAAGCGAAACCTTTGCCAGAGTTCACAAATTCGTCTCCCGTTTCTCTCCGCTGCATCATCATTATCATCCTTACAGTTCTATATTTCCACGAAATTCTGACACCTGTCGCGATTATTCCGACGGATAACAACGAACGTCTGTCAGGGTGCCCGGTATTCAGCCTCCCGACTCGAAAACACTTTTCCATGTTCGAAAAGAAACGAGGATATTCGAGGGGCCCTAAGTTTCGTGGTAAGGGGCCTGAAAGTCTCAGAAAAGCCGGACGAATTCCAGGAACTCGGGTCTCCTCGACGTTCGGAGTGGGGAGAGACCCTTTTTGTCCACCTTCACGAGGAGATCCCATAAAGATAGGGGCGACGGACGCGGTGAGGGACCAGTTTTCGGGGTCCCATACCATTTATTACGTGACGCGGCGAGGATCTTTTCACGGACAGGAGATGCTACGTAAACGAAGGAGGAGAAAAGGCAAGGCCAGATGTGTGGAACCACCGTCAGTGCTTGTTTGCTGCTCCTTTAAGGATCCTCCTGATGCTTCTTTTACGGCTTCCAAAATTTCCAACTGTCCTTCTTCATCTGCAAGAGGACACTGTGCTCTCGCGTTTCCCTCTGGTCATCCTCTCTGGGTCACGTTTACACAAGTGTTCTCTCCGTTGGCTACGCGAAAGCAAGAAAAAAAAAAGAGAGAGAAAAGGAAAAATTGGAAGCTGCCCCCTGCGCGGTGACCAGGATATTTCCAAGCGAGTTTATCCGTCTGCTAACGAGCCAGGACATTTGTCCGTCTCTACGGGTTGGAAGACAAGGGCGAGAAGAGATTTTTCAGATAGGTCACGAGTCGGAACGACTTTCCTCGCTGTAACCACGCAGGATTACCGATCAATAAGGTCCTCTTCGACACGGTTACCTCTAGCTGGCTACGATCCAACTCCCATAAATCTCTCGGCCGCAAATTTACACTGCTTTATCGGTGTAGATTAGCTTTATCTGAACGACCTTCCGCAGCTACCGTCGCGACTGCTCGATTTTCTCTTTGTACTGGTGCTTTTCCAAACTGTGGGAACTCGAGACGACTGCATCAAGTTTCATCATCCCTGGCGAATTCGTTTCGCAGCATTTTCTACGATACTGCCAAGGAAACGGATATTCGATATCAGGGATTACGAAAATGATTCTGGGTTAATCGAGTGATAAGGATCGATTACTAACAGGAAAAATATTCGCCGTGATTTTCTAAACGATGCAATCTGTTCTGTAGAAATGTGAGGAAACTGGTGATGATTAATCTGCGAAGTTTATCATAATCGCAAGTGTTGCATCTTGGAACTTGTTCGAAATCGTTTGGACATTCAAGGACGTTGGCATAATTTATCTTCCTTATCATTTTATCTCTTAGTTACACCTCATAACGAAATTAACACAAGTTATAGTAGCGGTTGATATTATATGCGCAGAGTTGACAGCAACTCGGAGGAGGAATAAAAATCGCAGTGGTCGTTTTAGTCCCAATTTCCTTCGTGTTTTCGGGAAACGAGTTGCTCTTCGAAAGCAGACACCGATGAACCCGAGGACAGGTAAAGAGCGTCTGGGTAGGGGGAATCCGAACCAGATGGACCTGTTGGGACCTGTTCCGGCTCGCAGGTGCATCGGTACGATCCGGGCACCCGGGTTCGTAGAGGAAAATAATGCACAGGTCGAGGGAGAAAAAGGACAAAGGGAGGAGGTGTAGGCGCGTCTTTTGCGCCGTTCGGAGACACCCCACTGTCGCCTGGTTTGTCGAAACCCATCAACGATTATCGTACGTCGGCGATAACCTCGATCCGGTGGAAGGAGATCTAATAAAAGACCGTTAGATTCTTCGGATGATTCTTGGTAAATACGATCGAGGTGAAATTTCGTGGTCCGAATTATTTATGAAGGTAGGCCACGGTGAAATTTAATCAACGATACTCGTCATAAACACTCGCGAGAGTTTTGCGTCGTTTAGATAGGTGGCAATAAAAAGTACAATTTCGAAATTGGGTCCCATCGGTTCAGGTCTGTCCGTGGAAAATAAAAAAGGAAGCAACAGGATACGACGAAACGAAACGCTGCCAATGCCAATGCTAATAAGAATATTAAGGTTGGCTTTAAAGAGGTGCAAAAAAAGACCACTCTCACCGTCTCCGTCTGGTGTCTGTCTGCCTGGCGACTGTCTGGCTCTCTATGCCTGTCCGGCCTGCGAACCGTGCCGCTGTCCCAGCGATTTATGGATCTCTACTCGCTACTCTTTCGACGTAATTGACGAGTAGGCTGCTGCGGTTGCCTCGGAAACTTTGAAAATCTTTGAACGATCGTGTTTCTTTGTTTGCTTCCTTCTTTGCATCAGCTGGCACCGAATCGGTACACGAGGGTGATTTATGGTTTCAGGTGGAGCCTGATATACCGATCCCATAGAATTAGGAGTTTCTGAATAACTCATACTTTACAACATCGATGTTTGGAGTATAATGAAAATTGTGGACGTGAATCAGTCTTGTATCGAACGTAAGTATCTCCGTAAGAGCAAGGATCTTTATAAATTCGAGTCCCGATGTAATATTTAGCGAGGCCCGTGACCGCGAAGGATTTAAATTGTAAAGGGTTGCCATTAAAAGGATCGAGCCGGACGGGACACGCGAGAGCACGTATAATACGAGGAAATTTCTCATGTGCGGGGACAATAGAACGTACGCGTTACCGCGATGCCCATAACGCTTGATAAACGAGTAAATTTTCTGGCTTCCCATTTAAACGAAGTGTCGTGCACGCGCGTTGCCCGCCACTTTCACTCCCTTTATTCTCTTCGTTTCAGGGAAAAAAGATCCCGGTGCCGGTGAATTTATCGCGAAGCATTTATAATCCTGGTCGAAGCGGCGTGTCCGTTCGTGTTTATCGGTTTTATCCTGGCCCGATTCGTCCGGGCATTCCGCGTGAAAAATTGTCTTCCCTCGTTTCCTGGCCGGCCCCGTTTCCTCCGTTTGGATCGTCTCGAATCCGTCCGGGTTAATCGAGAACCCTGCAACGCGGCGCCGCACGAAAATAACAGCCAGACTAGATCCCGAGCGATTAGAAACGTTTTATCGCGAAATTATTCGCGCACAACCACTTCCGGCCGTTTCGCGGGCTTGTTAAGTCGGGTAAAAACGCCGACAGGGTCGAAGCCCTGCTCTTCGCGCGAAAAGATTTTCGCTAACTGACGCACGTTTCCGCGGAGCAGTGGCAAATTGCCTTCTGTTTCTGACGAGCGAAATTCATAAGCGAGGGACCAGCCGCGATGAGAATTAAATCCGAGGTCGATGGACGTTGCTTTTTGCTAGTTTATTCATTCGAAGTTGTGGAATTTTTAACGCGTTCTCGACAGATACTTCCAGATCCACCTTGACTGCGATCTCGACGATATGCATATGATGCAAATTTGCATCGCCATAAAAGATTTTAAATCGTACAGCTGTTGGCCTTTTTTCTAAAAAAGCAGGAAATATAATTACACTTCGATAGCCCAAATATTTTCTTCCCAATACATTATATTATATTTCCTGCTTTTTTAAGAAAATGGTCGATCATTGTACAGGGATCAACAACTGTAAACGTTACCCTAGTCCAAAATTGAAAAATTAATATTAAAATTATTCTAGTAGCCAGAAGCAGAAAGAATCTATCGAGATACGCGATCGACGAAGATCGATGCACGTGAAATTTTGTCGGCGACCGCGTGGAACGAGCGCGGTAACGAGGTTACGCGATGCACGTAAGTGCTGTTAAGAGTTCGTCGTCTCTTGGCATACGTTCAGTCGATTCTCGTAGTTGAGTCGGTGAGTCATCGGGTTCGTTTCCTGCTGTTGGAAGGTCCGTCACACTATATTCGAGTTAACTCGATGGTTCTGGTTTCGAGCAGGGGGAGGGAAGTTCGGGAGGGCGGAAAGGTCCCTCGGGTTGGGACCGTGTTTCGATGCTTCGAAAAACCGTGCAGGATTGGACGGTTGCTAGGCACGAACCTGTTCTTTCGAAAAATCACGTGATTCATCTCGCTTCTGACTAACCTGCCTGATATTTCGCTGAATCTCCCCCTGCGATGCCTTTCGCTTTGATGAGTCAATGGTCACAGATAGCGGCCACTGTACACACAAACAGTACAACCTGGGAATATCTGTATCGTCAGCGAACGCCGGGATCGCCGTTGTTAGACGGCATGTCACCTGTGTTTGATCCGCGATATCGTTGGGAATGATAAACGAAATGGGAGCAGGTTAACACCGCTCCTCGAGCTGTTACGTAAGTTCCTCGTCGTTCATTATCATCATTCTTTTTTCATTTTCCTTCGTGTATAATCCGAAGGATCGCGTATTCGCGATTTTCAGTAAACGCGACCCAAGATGATGATACGTTTGCGATAAGAACGCGGAGGAAAATCAAAATCAAGTCTAACATTCCTCGCATCGCGTCAGCATTCAGCTTTATCTATCGAAAGGAAAACTTCGCAAATATCTAACTGTAGAAAAATCATCGACAAAAATACCAAGGCAAAGTCCATCGTAATCAAACAAAATATTCTTACGATGAGTTTATGGGAGAGGAAATGTTATAATAGACGAATTATATCAAGAAATTCTTGCGCGATGGTATCACCCCCCGCGCGATCGTGGAATCGCGCGTGCGGGTTCGTCGCCACCCGCAGCGGAGGGAAAAGATCGTGCGACAACGGATAAGGAAAGCTATGAAAAAGAAAAAAAAATCTTCCGTGGAAGTTTATCGGGTTGAACTGTCATGATTCACCGGTCTGGTATCTGCCAATGATGGCGGAGGCAAAGTACAGGTAACATCCAGGATTGGCCCAAGCAGAGTAGCGAGACTCGGAGCGACGTGTTTCGATTGGCGGAAGACAACCGAAGGCGCGTGTCCAAGACCCCTCCTAGCCCGATAAATCTTTTCCAGATTAGCCTGGCAGTGAGACGCGATAGACAATTCGAAAATTAGTCTGAAGAAGGTCAGTTGTATTAAATCGTCGCTCCGTTCGTATCTGTTGAGGATACAAACCCAGAAGTGCTCTAAAATCTACTCTTTGGAAATTCATCAAGGTAAGTGGCGTTTTTTTTTTCTTCTCTATTTTTTTAATTGATTGTCACCTTGTTTCTCTCTTATCGGTGCACACGTGATAATGATTTCTTCCTTGTTCAACATAGCGTACGTGTTCGACGACACGTCGCGTCTCGCGAAATAGTTACGGTTTGTTTATTCGATCGACGATTATAATTTCGAGTTACCTGATAAATCGAATGTGAAGTGCTGTGAATCTTCAGCTAATCGTAATGGATTTATCTGGATATACTTGTACCAATATCTTGATGAATATTATATGTAGTTCATTTCATTTTCTAATTCAAATTTTCTACTTGAATTTACGGTACAGTTCATAAATGGAATTTTCCATGGCCTTTGAGAGACTAAATTAAAAATATAAAGACACATCAGTGGGCAGGGAAGCAGCTTCGTGTCGTTTGCGGTTTAGAAGATAGCTGCGATTCAAGGACGACTAACGAAATTCCGTCGAATGACTCTAAATGAAACTGCATCACGGATTGCTCATTCTGAAACGCAATAGCATTCTTCTAGGCAAGGTCGAGGGACAGTCCGTTATCTGTCCGCGAACTAGCCGTCCTTTAAAGTACAACCATTTATGTTGCAATATTACTGTTAATATTTTGTTTAAACACAATCGGATATAGGTTCCTTAGTCTCCTCGAGGCCATCGTTAGAAGCAACCATGTCCGCGATTAGCTCGACTGATGATACTCTTTTTGTTCTGCCTAAACGAACTGTACTCCTATCTATCGGACCTTGATGATACACCTTGGGTCGACTGGTTATCTGCGATTTCCGCGTATATACCTGCATATTACGCCCTCGCAGCTGGGAATGCATGTGCATGCACCTGCAAAGTGCACGGAGTCACTCGCGACGCGAGCGTGCGTTTTTTCTCCTCTTTCAATTGTTTGTTACAATTAACACGTTGACCAACAGTGGGAATCACCGGTGATCGATGCTATAAATTTATAGTTGAAAGGAAAATTTTTATATTGCATTAATTTTTCTAATCGCATGTATTGGTGGAGGTAGTAAGATTATTCACGGGTATTCCAATTTTTTTTATATATCAATGTCAACGTGATAACCAACGATTCATTGATTTTACGATTCGTCACACCTGCTGTCACGTGTGACAATTTGAAATGTTTGAAAGTCTTAAACGACACAGTACTTTATCTTAATTTATCAATTAAATATCGAGAAGGAAAAACTGCGAATACTGACCATCGCAATTTTTAATTAAATTATAAACCGATATATTTTCGATATCGTACCGGTATTTGTTTTGATATTATTACGTAATCATATTTTGATAAATTTTTTTAATACACGTATTTTCAAGTGTATCTTATCGCTGTTAGACGTAAATACAAATTGATGGATGAAATCACGATGAAAATAGATTTTGCGCAGAAAGTACGGCTCCGTTCGGCGACGCCGACGATGTTTTGTCGCGAAAGCCGCACGGAAGGCGACAGACAAGGCAGGCCAACGTTTTGCGGCCTAAGCTCTGTCGGCCGGCTCGTTATCGCATCCGCAAACACCCTCGCGAGTTCTCCCGTTTCCGGTTTGCAGGCTCGCGTACGCACAGTAGCCCGCGTCCTTCGTAGACACGATTGATATAATCGCCTCCCCGGAAGAGTTGCCAAGTATCTTCTTCTATCTTACGCAATTGGTTGCATCTCGCATAAACGTTAACACCAGCTTCACGTTTCTTATTTTGAATTATAGAATTTATTATTCGTGCTATCTTGATCTTTTATTACCTACCTTGTTGAATTAAGTAATTACGATCAAGCTGGAAGACGAGAGGAAAATCGTTGGAAGGCTTGACAAGTCTTAGAAAAACGATTTCCTTTGAGACGGAGGTGTTCACTTATCGAACAATCCCATCTCGTTACGTGTACCTGGTGCACGTGTTCCATAGACTTTCGTGACTGACGTGTTTGCACTTCTCGGAACGGAGTTCTTTCACTCGGGTCACTTAATACTATGCACTCTCGGAATGGACGACTTGAAAAATTACGAAATTGCCGATATTAGTTGCGTTCACGTAAAAGCGATTTTTGACTCCCACCTCTCCTTATCCCCTGCCAATTCAGACGTTTATTCGCTTCTTTATCGTTTTCTCCAACCTATCTCTCCCTTTTTATCTCTCTATCTCTCTCTCTCTGTTACATTTATCAGCGATAACAGAGAGAGTTTGTTCGTAAATTGTTGCCGTAAATGCACTTGTTCGCGATGAAGAACGAAAAAGGAAACTGCATATCCGAGTGTTACGTGTCAGTGCAAATCCGTGACTTTGCTTTCTTCAATGCCAATCATTCTCGACGATAACAATTACATCCGTGCGATTTTTATTCCCCTCCGATCGAATGTTTGCAAAACCGGCCGCGTTTTGACACCAGAAAGCAGAAAACCGCTTTATTGCTGTTTGATTAAGATACCGGCGCGGATCGAACACAAGCGCTTTTTTTCTTTATTTGCTCGAGATATTATTTCGTCCGGTGATCGGATTCGCTCGCGAACTCGATAAACAACCGATAAAAAGAGACCCGTGTCACTTCCACGGGCAATTACTGATTCCTAGAAATTACGATTCGAAAAATACACGGCCACAGTTTTCCGGCTATTGTTATTCGCCGTCTATTCTGTTTATCGCTGTCCACCTTAGTAAGGTCGCGATCGGCCGTGACGTTTTAATAATTTCTCCCGACGCGACACGCCGGTCGCCCCGACATTTGCACAGAACAAGTAATAAATCTGGTTCGACGAACCGAGCCCAGGGGTGAACGCACCCGATGACCCGATAAAAATGATAAGAAATGCAATTCGTAACGCGGACATGATAAGTTGAATCACCTTTCGGATGCGATTCTCAACCGATTTTTTTCCTTCGCCTACCTTGCTGCAGGATCATCGAATCCTGAACTAATTAAGAGACAGAGAATCTCTGATTGTTATTCTTTATTCTATCAACATTTGCATACTTAATTTATTACTTTTATCTCGGTATTAATTGAACGATCCCTGTCGGGTACCTTGCGGCAGAAATTAAAAATACAAGTTAATGCTCGGTGTTCGGTGACCCTGTTAGCCGTCCACGATTTCTCCGGTAGTTTTAGTTCGCAACCTTGTCCGGTGCCCGGCCAATTGCTCGTCCAACGACTGCTTTTTTGCTGGACACCCGGTACGAACGTCGTGTTTAATAACGTTGCTCTTGCCGTTAACCTTCGTAAACGACGACAAACGGCGTATCCATAATACTGGAGTGGACGAGAAGCGTGCTCGAACTTGCTCGCGATGAACGCGTGAGCGATAACGCGCTCTTTCCAACCACGATAATGGGACGCGATAATTTCTGACGCTTCGTTAATCGGGAAGACCTTAAACTTCGAATTTCTTCTCTTTTTATCCTTTTCGAGATATCGTCGCGATTGATCGACTGTTTATATCCGATGATTATTTTGCACCGCGATTTTGCCTGTTATCGTCTACTACCGTAATCACGGAAGGCAGAATGTCTTTTTTTATCAAAGTTATATCTAAATTGTACAAAATTCGTTCGCTGAATCAGGGAATTCACCGTGTCATTAGCGGTGATCCTGATCATTGTTCCACGATCGACACCCGACAAAAGGGATTTGTACACCTTCGAAACAAAGTGGCGCGCAGGTTCCTGGACCGGTGACCAGTGCATCCACCCACGCGAGGATGCTACTCGTTCTAAAAATATACAATCCGGTCCGTGCATACGGTGCTACCGATTTTAAATCTCGCCACGCTACCATCCGGGAACCGATTCAATACTTTCCGTGGAAATAAAACGAAAGTAGCCCGGTACATACTCGTAGAGAGTACGCGAGAGGAAGAACACGGGGATGTTCGAGACGTCTCCTCCAAAGTGTTAAACTCCTGATCTTGGCATGAAAATTACATTATCGCAGTCGAGGGATTAAATATTCACAAAGATAACGAAGATAATTTTTTGCTGATCAAGCGAGTGAATTTTTTTTATCTGCCCATCTCTATTCATAGTAGTCACCGGTGAAATAATTTTTAATAATAATCCGGTACAACGTTCGATCGATAAAATCTTCTGTACTGTCCACCGATGAACAAAAGTCTCGCGGGACGGCTCAGGGGCAAGAGGGAAACCTCGTTCGCTCCGCCAGTTCCCCAACGTTTGGGTTTTTGACGATGCACGTTATATAGGCGTAGGATTCTGACCTACCGTTAATCATTTTAATATATCATTTCGTACTTAAAAAAAAAACTCAAGTCAAGTGGTTTAGTTCGATTTCAAAAAAATTGTTTTGTTTTAAAGCATACTTTTCGGATCCACTGTATGTCTACGCCAATGCTCGCCTCGCACTATCTCCCTCAAAGTGAAAAACGGGCACCAACGAATTACAGTTATAAACAGGTCTAATATATATTTATGCAAAGTTTCATCAAAATCGGAGTGTATCAGTCCCCGATGTTCCCTTGTCAGTCTCAATACGTCTCATCGACTTTCTTCGTCACACGGTCTGAATCAGTGTGCGTGATCGTTTTATGCCAATAGCTCGCTAGAACCGAAAATACGTGTGAAATGCGTGTCTTCCTTCCATTCTGACGAATCAATAGTGCATCGGTGCATAGTATATTTATGAATAAGATAAGCACCACTATTTAAAGGAAAGTTGCGCGGAGTCGGTGTCAATAGTTCCTCAGCTCTTGTAAATACCGAATCATTCAAGATAGGCAGCCTTCACGGGACAGAGAGAAATATTTGTTGTGCAGGTTTCACGGTAAGCCTGTAAAATTATACTTTAACGTGCTCGTTAAACGTACTAATAATCGCGCTTCGACGAACGGTCCACATCAGCATCGTGGTAGTTGAAGATCGTGCGTTCGAAAAGGAAAGTATCGCATCGTATGGAGTGAAGGGGCATCGACGAAAACGTTAGTATTTTTAATTACGAAAAACGTCTTTTATAATCTTCGATGATAGAATAAATATTTCTTTTCTCATCGATAATAATCGATACGCCCCGGTTGCGTTGATAGCGAAAAGAAATTGAAACGATCGCGTTACCGAAGGTGGTAACTCGGTAGCTCGGTATTACCAGCTAATTAAGACCCGAATGAAATGTAATCGGCGCACGGGCCATAAATCACCGGCACGGGACAGACGGAAAGCGACGTTGGAAAAGTAGTTCGGTGCACTCGTGCATGTTCACGATCGACGCTCTTCGCATCCAGTTAATTAATATCTTTCTACGTCGGCGCGCGGGCGAATTTGATTAACTGCGCCGTGTGCATCTGCCTGAACTGTTGCTCGCGTGAAATTGCCGCGATCTATCGACTCCGGTTCGGCATTAAGCATCGATCTGTCGATATCGATACGGCATTCTCCGTCGAGATGGACTTCAGTTTCTATCGTTCGTCCTGCTAATGTCATCTCTATGTAACGCCATCCCCGATATCCGAACGATTCACCTGGCCTTTAACTTCTCTCTCTCTCTCGATTGATATCCAATGACATTGTCTCCGTACGCCGTTTCTGCCATTAATCTATTCTCCTCTTGGCTTGTCGTCAACCTGACCCGGTGAATGCAGATAGTCTTCGATCGTTCGTCGATTCGAATGACTCGCTCGGAATCGGTGCATCGCATAATGCCACGCGTATTTCGTGCACCCGTCGTTGGACTCTTTGTCTCGCGGCTATTTGCAAGTCGAATCGAATAGGACGATCGTTGAACGATGGTATTACCGAGCTTCTGCCCGATTGTGTACAATATGCATACGTGATTTTGAAAATTTTGAGCATTTCTGTGCGGGTGAATGCAAATTGATAGAGAGTATGAGGAGTATGTTCGAATAAATGTTGACTTTTATTATTTAAGGATATGGAATTTTTAGAGTTGTATGTCTCTAAGAAAATTTTAATTTTTTCGTTTATATAACCTTGTATGTAATTTAATAAACATATATGTATATTTGTCAAAAAAAATAACAGATACACAGGAGGGAAATACGGTTTATGACACTAGGTGTATAAAATACTCCAATATATGGTTTTTCGATTTTCTTTATTTCATTTTGTTAAATCCCAAGGCCCTCAATACAGAGTAATATGCAGATACTTATTTACATGAGGTCGTATCGTGCAAAAAGACTACCATGTGCACTGGGTGCATCGTGTGCATTGTGAATCAGCGCGACACGGTAGGAGCGCACTGTGTATTCCCGTTTCTTTACCTCTTTACCCATTCATTGGCCAGATGAAAAAATTGTCACTCGGCCAAGTATCACGATCCCATGAATATCGTTCGCGTCGTCGCAAATTACGACGAAATTAAAACACTGTTTTGGTGGAAGATTATTTCTATCCTCGACATTGCTCGCGCCGACATCGAGCCGAGTCATCGGCGACACTCGGTTCGTGCATTCTATTCGAAGATACAAAAAATCCTCCCCGTATGACGCAACGACGACACTCGAGTTACTCGATCACGGGGTTACGAGTGGGTTCTCGACGACTTTTCGGAGTCGATAATTCGGCTTGTAAAAAGCGCCGTATCGGCGAAACCGCTCCTCAACTACCCCCGTGGAGTTGTCCGCAGAAACTACGCAGTTACGCTCGGGTGTCGTTCCGTCGTGTCATACGCGCCTCCACGAACCGCTTCGGAGTGCATACAAGCGTGCCACTCGCTTGTGTGAGTTCCCTCTCACTCTCTCTGCTGTCGAGATCTCATTGCTACATGCTACACGCTTCGCCTTCGTATTTCTTGTTACACGCTTAAAAGAAAAATCTTTTATGCTCGAAAGACTGTCCATTTTATTCTACAACCTAATTAGAGAGACAGAAAAGAAAGGAGCGCAGTATAAAAGTGCATTACGAATCGGAAAGAATGCGGCTGGTTTTTCCTTGTAGAAATTCCAGTTTGTCAAAAAAATCGAATCGTTTCATCGACACCACAAGAGGAGACATTGTGCCGCGCGATTTTAAAAGTTTTTGATTTTTCTTCCATCTCTCTCTCTCTTTTTTTTTTTTTTTACCCCACTTGACCCTAACCGGTAAATTTACAACAGCGCGACCACGGGCACACGTACAATCAGCCCCACCAAAGCTTGTTTCTCTAGTCCTTTTCTCTCGTCTCATCGGTTCTGAGTCCGGATGCGCGCGCATCGTTCCCTCTCCACGCCAACATCGCTTCCCCTCCAAGCGAGCATCGTTTCCCCTGCAAGCAGACATGGTCCCCCCACTACGCGAACAACCGGCCGAACGAGCGTAGTGGGGGAAGTCGGTTGCCGCCGCGAGGCAGAACGTGCGGCTGAAACGAAAGTTCAGAATCATTACCACGCCAGACCTCGAGGAGTATAGACGTGTTTCTCGTTACCCTAAGCTCAGTCGAGAGTTCTCGTGTCGCTTTACTTTCCCTCTTGCACCGTACACACGTGTGTGATAGCCGCGGCAGGACAGTCTCGAGACGCAACGTGTTACACCATCGAACCGTGTGCGTGCGTGCCGTGTGCGGATCGACGGAAACGGAGCAAACGAAAAAATCATTTCTGTTTTTCCCACGAATTACTTTTCGACGCGGATGTTCTTTCGCTTGTGCCTCGTGAAAAAGGAGAGGAAAAGCTAGTTGACGTAATCTCGAGTAAAAAAGACTCTCAGTGCATCGTGTGTCGTGTTTTCGACCGAAGGACATTGAACTCTGTGCCCTCGTATCCTGTGAGACATTTTCGAACTGTCATCGGTGAACGTCGTCGAACGAGAGCGATCCTGTCATCGATCGCTCCTCCTCACCGATCCACGGTGATTCGACCTTTCCGTCTCCCACACGAACTTTTCAATCCTCGATCGAATTGCAGCACAGAGTCCTATCAATATTCAGCACCTATGGAAAGTGATCCATTCGAGGATCCACCTTACATACGCTTCAGACGACGCTGTTGAGGCGACGCGTCGGAGTAGCGGAACGATCAGGTGCGTTAGTGCGGTCCTTGTGCGTTGCACGCGGCCCACGTGCGTTTTGTATGGACAATCCTGTGGCGACGAACATTGAGCGTGCGCCGTCGAAACCGAAAGCCACGTGTGCCGCAACGAAAATATACGTTGTTAATAATACCGGGAAGGTCGGTACCCGCGATCTTGATCACCGTCGATTTCTTTGTCGAACTTGACGCAAACGGCGGAGACTTGGTTGAAAATAGGAAGAGAGACGTTGTTCTGTGCGAGAAAGAGATAGAGAGAGAAATTAAAGAAAGGTGGTAGTGCTTGATCCACAGACATTGGTTCGATTACAGTGTCACCGATTCGCGAAGAGAAGAGATCGAACAGCGGTAAGAAGCGAAGCATCGAAGAAGAAAAGTCCAGTGCACCTGTCACGATCGAGAAATGGCGATCCCGTTCGCTTTACCGTCCGACGACGAGGCGGAAGCCCAGGGACAACAGCTGGAGCAACTGATGCTCGACCTTTACGCAGCTCTGCAACAGGTCCTTCGAAGCAGGACGGTTCAACATCCGTCCCGAAATCGTGAGTTCTACGATTTTTTAAGCCTTCTTCTGATCTGTCTCGGAGCCATCCTTCGTGTCTTTACACGGTTCTCGAACTATCCGTCACGATGACACTAACTGTCCTTTCGCTACGTCGTTGCTCCCAGAGACTACGTAGAAACGAAATTTCATTAGCTCGACACCCTGTCAAATCTCCGATCACGTGCATCCTGCACATTTTTCATTCTTTCTTTCTTCCTATATTTCCGTCACTTTTCGGCTAGGGATATCTATCCACGATATGAAACGATAAAATCCTGACGGCTTTTCAGGAAGACGTATTAGGAGGCGCAAGAGGAGAACTTATGACTGTTTGCATGAGAATCATAACGTTTCTTGTCCTTTGCGAGAATTCCTGTATCTCGTTACATTAGAAAGATTGTTAAATAATATTGTGGTTATTGGAAAATCGATTTAGATTAAACGTTAATTCGCTCACTCGATGCGCTCTTCTTAACATACTGTGATGGTAAATCTCCTCGGTACTCCTTCGATGGAGGAAATATCAGGATCAAACCGTTTATTATTCCTTTTCTTATATTATAAAACTTCTATTTATTTATTTATTTATTAGAATATGTATTTTATTTCTTGTTACTCCGAGATTGATTTACTTTGTACACACGAAACGATGAAAGTTTTGTTACAATAAACTGTGTTTTACGTTGAACTTGTCACGTGCCACGCAATTAATTTCCACTCACACGGGGGAGTCGCGTTTAGTACGCTCGAGTAACGCGCTCCACGTTACGCTCTGGGTGTATCGAGTAGAAGTGCAACACGTGGTTGTCGCGCGCAACAACGCGGACCAGTTTCACGCGGAACACGGATTCTGGATAGGAAAGGTAAAACACGTAATCCACGGGACAACGAGTCGTCATCGAGCAACCAAGTGTCATCATCAGGTAAAAGAATCAAAGATTAAAATCGAGCGCATAAACGATTCGGAGAATCGCGTGAGACGTAAAATCGGCGAATGTTTTTTCTTCGAATTCGTTATGGAGGTCTCGCGTCCTCGAGGAGCCGCGTGATCGTTTCATTTCAGGTCGTTGACTCGTTGCAGGTTGTTGCGCGATTTTGTCGAAAATCCTGATACATTTGACAGCGGTCGTTGTCCTATGAGTCAGGGTCGAAACACTTAGGCACCGTCTAGGTCGTTGCGAGATGTTTCGACAGCTTTTCGTCCATCGTGATTTCGCATCATCTCGAGAAATGAACCCCTATTCGCGATTCTTGCAATTCACGTTTCTACTAACGTCCTTCCGGATCTAATTCTAACGCTTTTTTTCGCTATTGTTTTCTATTACTAATCTGCGCTTATTCTTAAGATTCTTTTTAAGTTGAGCACACAATTGCTTTGAGTAGTGTAATTGAAAGCTGCCATAAATGATTGTATAGACTGTAGTTTGATAGATTTAGTGGCTGTCAAAAGTTTGGAATCACTGGGATTGATACTTTGACTGCCACATCACTCATATCTGATTGTGAGTGAATTTTAACAGTCTGTCATTTATCTTATAGGGGATTTTTATTGAATACTTGAAAGTGTAGTTAATGAAAAGAGAAACTTGGATCGTTAAATGCAATAGTACAGTGTTCTTTAACTGTACGACTCTGCAGTAAGAAAAGCATAAGAGACAAAGAGTTAATATATATTTCTGTTAATTATTTAAATCGTAAAGTGATTCTAAACTTTTGATCAGCATCTTAAGATATTGACTATCATGGTGATCAGTAATGGTGACCACAGTGACTCTTGAAATTTTGTGTAATTAAATAATTTGTAAAAAAAAATAATGAACAGCGTTAATATTAGCCTAATACCATAATGAACCAAACTGAAATTTGAAAATTAATTAATTGTTAATTGGTGTGTTAATGAAATTGACTCCACTGGAACAGTGAGTCAATTAGAACGATGAAACATGACGAACCAAAAATACCTAGAAACATATCTTTATTTTCGTATATTGACCGATTAATTAGCATACTGCTAAATCATCATTACTCTGGCGGCATTTTAACGCCCACCATTTATTTGACTATGACTAATGAAAAAATTTCAAAGGGCGGTAGTTAAATTGAAACCGACTCCGCCATAAATACTCTTTTCACGAGTTTCCTCGTTACAGGACGTTTAAATGCATCCCCGATGCTCTCGCGTTTTCACGTACGGGGCCAAGGAAAATCCGGCTCGTTACATCTGGCTCGGCAGAAAAGCCAGGAGAGCAGCGTGAAACGGAGAAACGAGAGCTAGAGGCGTAAATTGCGGTAACTTATATTCGGAGCATAATGAAACGAGGCTTTACGAGGGTGCAGCGAACGAAAGAGGGCGAGTGTAACAGATGTAGCGTGGGTGTAGAGCGGTCGAGAGAGTGTATGGTAGACGATGTCCGGCCGTGACCCTGCACCGCTGCTCCGAGCCTCCTTTACGGCTAAAGAAAACGTTCGGATCGACAGCAGAGTAGGAGGAGAGTAGGACGGTCGTAGAGAGGACGAGAGATAGAGAGAAGAGCGATGGTCAGGCACACCGGAGTAAAACGCGCCGTAAAACTCGATGCAACGGCTCGTTCCCCGAATCTCGGATTCTCGATCGTCCGGCAGAGATTGCAGTATCGGACACAAAGTGCGCGGTACGACGATTGCTCGTTTCTTGCGCCGATACGATATCTGACAACGTCTGAAACACTCTCGGATGGCTCATTTTCGAACAGTCTTTCGAACTTAACACGACTGAATAGAATTGATTTTCGAACGATAAGTTTTATTAACCCTTTGTACTCGAAGATAGTTAACTCGAAGCTTAAAGTAATAATTTTGAGCACATTGCAAATAGCCGCCTTTCAAGTGCAAAAGATTGACATTAGAACACTTGATATTGGAAATAAATAAAAAAAGAATATAATCATTCATCTGCCACTTTTTCAAGATATTTTGAAAGATTTCTGTCTACAACCCCTTTTTACACTTAAGTTTTGTTGTAAATCGATGCACTCACAAGTCGCTCAATAATTGCATATCATTTAGAATATGTTTCACCGTGGTTTCACGAAGCAACACGTTGTTAACAAGCCTTTGATCCCCGTCGTCACGCGCGTGTATATGCCCCGAAAGAAACCGCAAATTGCATCCGGTCATCAGAGTGTGTTACTGTTGTTTCGAAGTGACGTAATCTTCCTCAGAACATTTATCTCGTGTCTTTTCGAACGATCATGGTACTTGAATTCTTGACCTTTCGTTTCTAATTGTCATCATTGATTAACTTGAAAAATATTAGTTAAACAATATTAATCTAATTTTAATATTAGTATAAAAGGTATCAAGCGGTAGCTTAACCCTCGAACGTAGGACCATGGAGAAAGCCTTAATTTTAATTTAATTTTATATCTCATTTTATTTTCATTTCCTAAATTTTACACCGTTCCAATATACGAAACCCTTTTGTTCAAAAATTATAAATTCAACTTTATATTAATATCCTTGTACATGGAAAGTGAAAAGAAATTTATATTCAATGATCGAGTCGCGAATTTCAGAGGCGTGCCTTCGTTGTAAATCAAAGAAGCGGGGTAGAAATTCGTGAACGGTCTCATTACCGGATGAAATTATGCGCCGAGATCCGCGGTTCATTATTTTCCGAACGGAAATAGTTGACGGCGGCCGCGTGTGTGAGGGTCAATAACCATAGTTCGCCGAGGCGGTTTCGAGAGAAGATGCAGAATCTGCATGAGCGTTCTCGGCTCGAGTCGGGGGTGGTTATTTATAGAAACAGCTGTGGCCAGCCCTGTTCGCCTCTTCTCCCGTGACATTTGCAGAAAACTTCCCCCTCGTCATCGTGCTCGCGTAAACGCGCCGCGGTAATAACGATTACGCGGGTTATCCGATAACGTTGCTTTTATTTTTCTTCTTTCCTTTCCACGATCTTCTTATTTCGTTTTCATCTTCCGCGTGTGTATTTATTATCATTCGTTGATATTACGTTCAGGGATTCAATGAAATAAAAAAATGAAATTGTTTGACTATACTTGTTCACCCTCTCTGCGAGTGACAAAATCTTAACCGGCTTACAGGATATCGGGTTAGATCGGTTACCCGGAATATTAGAGAACCGTATCCTATTCGGGTTAGGGATACAATCCCCGGTTACGTTTATAACGGAGTTGTTGTTCGAAACCCGTTTCTCACGACACGAATCGATAACACCGAATCGAACCAAGTCTTCCCGTGATCCTTCTAATCGGAGGCGTTTAATTTCTTGGTAAAGGAAAGATCAAGTGTCGTCCGTGAAACGATAGCCCCTCGACACTGAACTTCGTATTAGGTTACTTTGTTGTAAAGCTTCGAACTACTATCGACAAAGAGTGTCATGTCGATACACCGAATTTCGGAGTAATCGATACACAATTAATGATTTTGTATCGTACTTATGTAATTTTCTCTATTTGAACACGTTCATTGCTAATCCATCACCCGTTGACATGTTAATCTTCCGCAATTTAAGTGCCTAATTTAGTTCCTAACTTTGGTCGATGTAAGTCAACAAACTTTTATACTGAATCGAGGTTGCGTTAGTTCGATACTGAATTCACCTTATCATGGTTTTTCCCAGTGGAAGTCCGCAAAACGATCGATCAGGGACACCGTGAACGAGAGCAGCTACTGAAGTCTATAGATCCGGTGAAATATTGAAAGGAATTCGTCATTGTTGATTGTCCGGTGCTCGAGGGTAGTTTTCTATCATTCGTGACAGAAGACAGACGTTATTGACGAAGTCCTTACAATATTCGTTGAATTCGCACCTTTTCTTTATCTAAATCTCGTCGACAGTTTGATACCGTCACCGCGCTTTATCTTTTCATCAGAAGACGTGATCGGATCTTAGGAATAAGGTCCCATCTTCGTTATCTAACCACTGGTACTTGGCTTATCAACTCTATCTCTTCCTTTTTAATTAGCGAAATTTCATGGTGATAATGTTCC